TTCTCATTGCCACTGTTTGAGCTCTACAAGATACCGTTGAGAGATTTTCAATACAACGTTTCGTTGCGGAGAAATCACCATCAAATTTTTTATACGCCCGGAAAAAAGTACACACTGTATTGAGTAACATTTTATTTTGCTTTTTTTTGTTTTTTAAACTGGAAATTGCAACATGGAAACTTTCATTAAAAGATTACTCAAATGCAAATGGATTCAAAATACAGAATTCTTTAAACTGATTTGAATCCTTTAAGATCCCTTGCTTAAATTTTTCTGCTAAATATGCAACAGATTAATATTTATATTTGACCATGGATCTCAAAGTTATCAAAATAATCTTACAAAATACATAATTACGACTAACCTTTTATTTACAATTTTTCTTGGGCGTGGATGCTCTGGATTTCTTACTACTAACCTGCATACTTAAACCCGCCATTCGAAAATCTCCCGATGATAATTCTTTGGGTTGAAATTTGAACATTGAATAGCTTGGTCTCAATGTTGGTTTGCTGGTCCATGAAATATGGTCCAAAAACTGCGTTTTGCATACACAGTTACATTAACTGAATTTGATCACGGTTTAAAAAAACCCATTTGGTTACCAATAAATCGCATTTACGCGATAGGAATGAACAATTGAACTATATATTGTGGTGTTACAGTCTTGGTTTTGGTGCCCCAAAACGTAACCTTTTTTGTTCTTTTGGCTACAAAGAAAATAAAACGAGTTGATGGAAACAGAGCTTGTTTACAAATTGTAAAAATGTCAGCAAAGTAGTTCATTCCATATCAACTGGAGATCATTACTCCCTACAATCTTTGTTCAACGTTCGCAGTCCTGCGTTTTCTGGGAGCAAGATGACAACAATTTTTCAGTTTCATTATAGTGGGAGTAAGCGGTATTTTCTTACAAATACAGGTAACACACTCGATTTTGAAGTGGTCCTTGTAATTCCCTATAAATTTATTTACTACTTGATAAAGAACTTTGTCGCCGATTTGTACCTCTCTGATAAGAGCTTTATTATGACATCAAAATGATCTTAGTCTAACTTAAACCTGAATGAGTTGGCAAATAATGATCGCTAATACTGCGGTTGTTGATCACTTGATAGACAAGAATAATGTCACACAGTAAAAATGAATGCACATGCCTCCCCACCACCTCCCCACTGGAATAACATTACTATAATCTTGTAAGTCAAGGAGAATCACCTCTAATGAGGTAGCCGACAGAAATAAGCACTCAGATAAAAATAGCGGTTGATAAGTAAAACGTGTACAGAAAATAAAGCTAAAAGGTCAAAGACAAAAAGCCAATCCAAAGTTTCATCGTGAAGATGTCATAACAAAGACAGTTGATGATATTAAGATCAGATATTATGTCATACACCCCCTCTCTCCATACCTCCAGTACAGTACTATAATTTATATCGTCATTTAGATATCCTTTGGACTCGCAGCAATAAAATGGTTCATTGCGATAAGTGTTCAAAATATTCGCCATTAACTGCAAGGCAGTGGCACAACCTATCACGAAAAGCTTGAAATGAATGTCTGAGAATTCTGGGAGAAATTACTGCAGTAAATCATCATAAATCATACTTTCATTCTGTTAATTATAAAGAGGGTACAGATTTGCTTTTCCCGTATTTGATTTCCCTTAGCTACCGTTAACTAATTTGTGCTTTGTTGCTTGCCTTCGTTCCCGTTAGGGCAATCGCTACCGTGTCCGTGTGTCGGAATTCTGTTTTCTGCTGCTTCGCCAGAAGCCGATCACAGCTGCGCAAGACCTCTGGAGACCGTTTCTCCGACGTGTTATCTGTGACATTCGTCCTGAAACCTTGTCCAGGGTTCACACGAGGTTCACATACCTTGGTGGCGCTCGAGTCCGGCCTTCCGTTTAATTTTAAAAGCTCGTTGATTGCGTGCGAACTACCAAAGTTCGTCACAGTGCATTAGTGACATTTTGCACTAAGCCCTACGTCCCTTCAGCCTGATAAACTTAGTGAGTCCGTTACTGAGTCCTTCAAAAGTTCCATCCTGATAAACTTAGTGGGCCCTTTACAGAGTCTTTCAAAAGTACCAAAGTGAACTATTCAGACTCGCTCATATTTAGGGCTCAACTCGATGTTAAAGCTTCACTCCCTACCTCTTCTAAAATTAGATTTTACCTGCTGATTAATATACAGAGTAGGAAGAAGTAAATCAAAAACCTTGTGAAGATCAAAGATTTTGTTGCACTCATATGTAAGTGGTGCGCAATTTTTGAAGGGAGAATGTTGGAAACATCCTCGGAAACATCTTTACAACATTGTCTGTGGAAAAACACATTTTGAACTATGGAGCACGAGATGGAGCATGTATCTCAAACGAAAATCTTTGATCACTGGTTTATACCCTCGTTTATCCCTTATTTGGAAGAAATGTTTGTTTTAGGCTTCACTTTCACCCAATTTTTTGCATACTTACCTCCCATCCTCGCTCCCATCTACCTACACTGAAATGGTGCTTTGAAAAATAATAATAGTAGATGTTGTGAACATTGAGCTGCATTTAATGCTGTTAAATAGACCAAAGAGAAGACAACAATAAGTGTGATTAATGCTACACAGATAAATGAAATCTTTGCACATAAATCTACTACCCACACAAAGAGACTTTGTATGAATGAAATCATTAGAATGTGATAATTATAAGCAGGAAGTCATTTTACCATTCCTAGAGTAATAACGAAATTATGATTCACAATACATTCCCTAAATACATAGCTCTCGACATAGCTACAGGAATGCAAGTGACTCAATTTCAGGCTAGTGATTGAAATGTTTCAATTTATAAAGTATTGAGTAGAACATGCAATTACGTATTTAATTAAATTGAATTATCAATAGTGTTTACATGGAATAGTGTGAAGATATGGTAATTAATCATTAAACATTTCTCGGATCACACATCGTAACCACTACATGTGCGATAAAAGAACAGATTTTGATCTTTAATCTGGAATGGAAAATAGTGAAAAGGTCACAATTTTAGAAACGATAATGAAGTCGACAGTGGTGTGATAAGCTATAATTTATTTTATTTATTATAAAAAATAACACGTGAAGATTTGAAGGGAGATTATTGTAAATCACATCAAGTGATAAAAAGTAACAACCCCTTCCTGGCGATGATCAGGACATAATGACATTTTGGAAGAACAAATTACTTTCAGTTAAAAAAGGCCTGTTTATTATAATTCTGCACAAAATCAATTTTGTATTCCCTCACGTCATAGCTGCTATCACTGTGATAAGAGAAACATCAAACAAGAGGGCAAAGTTACTTCATATATAAATTATTAGCAATCTTTCATTCTACAAAGAGACCGATATCAAGCAATATATAACATAAACTCAGACTTCGAGCGGTCTAAGATAATTACTTTCTTAACGCACATTAGTAGGGAAACATTGTTTACATAAAATTATTAATTTGAGATTTTTTACTTGTAACTTTAAAAACACAGTGCCATCCAAACGCAAAATATTTGTAATCATAACCAAGAGCACCTTGTTCGTGTAAGTATGTAATCGAGGTATTAATTACCTTCACGGTAACAAAAGGATACAGCTAACAGTTCTTTGTCCTAGATGCGAGTGACACTTATGATGCTTAATTACTCTATATCTTCCAGGGAGGCTTCAATAATAGTCAATATACATATCAGCGAAAAACAAATCGACTATTACAATTGTATCCCAACACAATGCACTTACTACTTAGTGATAGCAGTTTCAGTTTCATGTACCATAAAATTTCGACAAGGTTACAAAAAAAGTAAGAACCACCTTTAAAAGTAGAAAAATTGTGTACCATACAAACCCATACTGGAGACAAAGCTTTGGAAAATTTACATTTCTTGCAAGCTTTTCAGTATTTGTGCGTATAAATTTAATGGTTTAATACAAAATCACTTACCACAAGTTTTATTTTCACATGTACAACTAATAAATAAGACTTTACTATAAGGTTAGGTAACAGTCAGTACAACAAACGTCAAAAGAGTAGTTCAGTTGAACAAGATAAATTGACTACTAATGAACGCCCCTCAAATGAAAGGAACTACTCCGTACAAATGAATCTACGGACTAAAAAAAAAGGGGTATAAAGTCGTGTAACGCATGTACCTATAATTCCGACGACTTTATTTTAAAGTAAAACCTCAACATGTCAAAAATATTGAATACTTCAAAGTTTTTTATATACACTATACATACATTATGCGTCATACTTTGGTTATCTCTCTTTAATACCCGCAAAAGTTGGCAGTGACAGAAAATATGAGGTCATATATGTCGTGTCGCCTATGTTGGATGACGTTTAGCGTTAGTCACATGTTGTTACGTTACATAACGTAATGTAATTGTAATTAAATATTCTCCCAAACTTTTGTAGGTTCTCTTTATTACACGTGCTTCTCGCCCCGTCACTCAATACGGAATGCCCTCCCCTACATCCTTATACATTATGCAACTTATCATACATGAATATAACTTACAGCTATCGCTACACGTCACTCAAACATTTAATCCAAAAATCAATGAAGTTTGACACTTCAATGTTGCAGCTCCCAGTTAAATGTGGGAATCTTAGATCATATGGGAATAATCGTCAACTTTGTCATTGTTTTAAAGATAAGGAGAGTAAAACGACGTCGGACATTTAAACTGAATACGCACCAGACAACAAGTCAAGTTGACGGACTTCATTCTAACGAAACATAAAATAGATGACGTAACCGCCCCAGTTCCTATTATACAGACTTTACGTACCACGCAATGATTAGGTGTTTTGATGTATCTAAAAACCGCAGAAAACTGCTAGGAAACGTGCCAAAAATTATCTTTAAAGTACCTCTCGTTGAACAACTGTTAGGTTTTTGATTGGCAGACTTTTTTTAACGTTTGACAACCGTGGTCTCTTGATTACCATCAATTTTCAAAACGAAATTGGCAACGTGGTGCGCGTCTCATCCCGCTTTTTTCAGAAGTTTGGTTAGGATTATACAAATTATTATTTTTATTAAACAACGAAGTCCATAAATAAAGAGGCGTTTTATTTCTGAACTAAGTATGTCGTCCCAGAAAAAGGAGAGTCGTTATCACCCTTATTCAAAATGGTAAGCACTATTCGGCTCAGCTCACTTCAACAAATAACAAAACCTTATGATCTCAGTGATGTGGTTTCCATCGACAAGTCAGTTATTACCATAAACGGTACAAAATTTAAAGACACCGGGGGCGGATTTCTATTAGAAGAGGCTGCAGAAAAAGTCGATGCTCCAATTACATGCGTTACTGAAGAGGCACCTCTGTTCAAAGACGATCGACCCACATGCGAGAAATGCAACAAGATCTTCTCCAAATCGTGGTTATTCGATACATTTGATTTTCCCGTTTGCGATGAATGCAAGTAGGTTACTGTATTAATTGTATGCCTACGTTATAATTATCTGTTGAAGGGATTCAGAAGAGGAACATAGACTTATTACGAAAACTGAGGCGATGAAAGAGTATCTTTTGAAAGATTACGACTTGGATAAACGGGAGCCTGCTTTAAAGTTTATTAAGCGCAAGAACCCTCACAATTCTCATTGGGGCGATATGAAGTTATACCTACAGTTGCAGGTAAACTCTTTTCGTACTGAATCAATGTATTGATAACTGTGTGTTAGATTGAGAAACGAGCATTAGAAGTGTGGGGTTCCCAAGAGAAGATAGAGGAAGAGCTTGAAAAGAGGGAGGAGAAACGGGTGATTTCCAAGAGTAAAAAGTATCAGAAGCAAATGAAGGAGCTGAGAATGGCTGTTCGTAGTAGTTTGTACAATAAAACATCGACCGCCTCTCATAAACACGAATTTGGACCTGAAACGTATAATTCTGATGATGATAATTATACTCATGTTTGTATTACTTGCCAATATGAGGAAACCTTTGAGAAAATGTGATTATTTACCTACAATTTTTATATTTTTTAAAACATGTTTTACAGAAGGATTAATTTTAAAATGTAGATGCATAAAATATGATTTATATCTAATTTACTCAATATAATTGTGTTTATTATTCGTGGTGGCGTTTTTACTACTTGCACTTCATAAACAAACACAAAGTTAAAAGGGATATTATTGCAGCTAATAGACATATTTTTTAATTATTAATTTTATTACTGGCGGTGCTGTGCTATAACTATAATCAAAGGCTATAACATATTAGCCAGGTTGCGGACAGCATTTTCCGTTATGTTAGACGGCCATTTTTTCTTATAACATAAGAAATATAAATTTTTGTAGAAATAATTTACGGTATGAGGGCTTTTTGTACGATATATTTATAAATAGCGGAACCAATGAAAATGAAGTTCTTATAATGTGTCACTGCGCAGTACGTAATCACTCATAAAAATAACATTTAAGTCTAAGAGCATAGTAGCAAGGAAGGCTTTATAAATAAGGATACTTTCAATGTCATCAACTTCTAAAAAAAGGAGTTCATTTTCACCAACTTTGGACATTTTAACACAATGTAAAATAAAAGTGAGGTTAAGCCTCCTTCAAACTTATAAGCAAAATTGAACACGCCCAGCACACACCGCAACTTAACTTTGCTATAAAAATGTTTTATACTTATAAACTTATATTATAAGGAAAAATGCCCGTCTAACATAACGGAAAATGCTGTCCGCATTACCATAGTATAATATTATGATATTACACTGACTTTATAGACAGTGGCGACAATAGAGTGTCTAATTTTTGATTGGTCGTTGAGTTCGGCGGCCATTTTGCGTCAAATTTCATACCTTAGGTACTTACTATTTAAGCTGTGTTTCCGCCTCTTCCCTTGTCTAAGGTTTTCGTTCCGCTAAGTGTGGTGTCACACTATGCGTTTTTACCGCTCCTGCTAAAACGGATGCGGTTGACAGCATATGATGCGGTTGCATCCTGTTGGTGCGGCGAAACCGCATATACATGTGGCTGGTACCATTTAATAACGTGTGATATCATCCCGTCAAACAGGAGCGTTCTAGTGGGAGCGGTAAAAACGCATAGTGTGACACCACACTAATAGCACAGATTACTGTGCTCTACTAATAGTCTGCATCCAGAATTAGACTTAGAACAACTTGAGTTACAATTTAATTGTGTAGATAACTTGGGTAATTCTCCAGGGGACTATAAAGATGTCAATTCGTTTTTGGGGTCCATAACAATAAACCATGTAGATACTAAGGAATTTACTTTTTATGTCTATGAGTAACAAAAATGCAAGGTTGGTATATTACAGGTTGCCTCGTAACTGCAATAATGGGGATCAAGTCGTCTGCTCGTGACGTCACTGGTAGCCACTCAAATTTCGTTACCTTGTCATTACTTGTCATGTGACATACGCGTAAGCTTATAAATATTGAACCTGTGCATTCAGAACCTAGAAATATTATTAAAAGGGTCGTGGAATTCTTTGACAAACAGAAAGCTGCCGTATGTGGGCATTTCCTTTGGAAAAGGCTACAGAGCTAGCTGCTGCTGTGACGGCAAATCAATAAAACTCATAACTAAATTAGGTAATGTTAATTTCAATTTCAATTATTGATGGAACGTAGCAACATTGTTGATTGGCGGTCACGATATTTACGGAAAATGAAAGAAAATGATGCTTTAGGGAAAAGCGGGTCGGCAGAAGATGAACGTGTTTAAAACTGACCGAAGCAGGAGGATCATATGGTCTCGTTGATACCGCCTATCTCATCTACAAATCGAAGACTTAAGTGTAGAGACGATATAAACTGTGACTATGCAATTGATTGTTAGATGAAGCTGTTTATCTTTCACGGTAAACACTGGTACATCAGACGAAGATTGACTGTATTATATAACGATTTATAATTACTAAATTTTAAAATATAAAATGAATATTTGTGTTTCACTAGTTAAACGATTCAAACATCATCAAAGAACTGTAAACAATAGCTACGCATCAAATTTTCCAGCTGTATGGCTGCATGCATTTATTATTTCGTTTAAATCGTGGGATACCAGTGACGTATTCGCGCCTCGATTGCTATTGGTCGATAGTTACGAGGCAACCTGTAATATACCAACCTTGACAAAAATGTACCTTTTTCTACAACTGTCAAAAAAACCTGTCATTTTCTGACGGATTTCGTAACGCGAAGTACTAGATTTTTAATCGGTTGATTAATAAGTAAGGTTGCTCTTGACAACGTGCGCGAAATCGTCAACAGTGAAATTACCTAACAAGTTCGGTAAGTTAATTTTTCCGCATGAGCACTTTGTTTGCAGCACGACCGTAGGGAGTGCTGCATTTAGTGCGAATGCGGGAAAATTCTTTCCGAAAGAGTTAGGTACAATATTTTTTGTAACGAATTGCGTAAAAAAGGTCAAAATTAATAAAGTTTTGTAAATTAGTTTTTTTTAATCATGAGTTGGTAACACAATAATATGTTTGGTTGGTAACATAGTTTTGTAACTACCCACTTTTCATCGCACTGGTCACATTTAAAACTTTCAGACCTTTGGTTAATACATATTTTGCCTTTGCAATGAGTGCTACACTGGTCACGGAATTGCATCGTTTGCACTGCATATCCTTGGAAGTCTTCAGTGTTAACAAATATGCTTTGAAAAGAGTGCTTTTATTGGTCGCGTAAGTGTACTGATCGTATTTAATATTCCCAGAAGACGTGTGAACAAATGTGATCTCAAATTTGATTTATCTTGAGTTGCGTAAATACACTCGTTACATTTAAAATCCTTGGAAGCTTTGTGTGTGTTAATATGTGCTTTCTTAAACTGCATATGCGAATAGTTGCAGAATATCACTGGTCACATTTTAAGACGTTTTAACAATAAATTTTACTTTTTCTTGAGTTCCAATTCTGAAAAATAATTTGATTGCGTTATAAGTTCTTGTTTATATATTTACGTAAAACTTAGTGTACGTCTGTTTCCGATTAATCGCACTAAATACCCTCAACCAACGGTTTAATTGATTTTACAGCAGATGACAGTTAACCATGACATGACGTTCGTTGACTTCAATAAGTACTACCAACCGAAGAACGCGCATAACCCCTTCTCTCCAGCGGAAACTAAAAAACACCGCGATGCGGGAAAGTCGTTTTCCCGTGCATCGAGGATGCTTGGAAACATTATCTTTCCATTCAATGAGTACAAAAAAAAGTATTTCGCGCACGGGACAAAGTTGAACTTAAACAGCAATTTAATTAACAATCGGTTCAGTTGTAGAAAAAATATTGTATATAACGCTAGCGCGAAGTTATTTCGCGCATTTGACTGATATTTTAACTCGGCTTCGCCTCGTCAAAATACCTTCAGTCTCAATGCGCGAAATTGAACTTCGCGCTCTTGTTATATAAATAACTATTTTTTTAATTGATTCCGGAGCTGATATGTCATGTGCTCCTTTACCATCTATTCAAAAAGATTCAGAGCAATTTGAAAGTTTCAGATAGTAGTTATTTACATAAAAGTCAAGAAAATGACACATTACTGGCGAGGAAATATTGAAGTGCGAGGCCCCTTTGGGGCAGAGTACTTTAATTTCCGAGTCAAGTAATTTCATTTTACCGACGAGTTTTGTATTAAATTTTACCTAAAATCGTATTTTGATACAAAATGTCAATTTGTATATATAGAACTATTGATTAATGTCAATCTGTCAGTGATCACAGGAGTCATTATAGGCATTTATAGCAAATGTCACAGATGCGGCCGGTAAAGTGACGGTGCGGTCGGTAAAGTGACAGGTGCGGCCAGTAAAGTGACAAGCCGCAGGAAACGTAGTCTGCTCGGCCTCTGTCATGGAAACTAAAATTTCCTGACAGAAAGTAGGCATGAAAATGAAGGTCCAGGACGATTTTGGGTAAAGTAATATTCTGGAATTAAACTAAAAGTTTTAGATGTAAAACTGAGTTTGCAGGGCCAGCACTTTGATAACAGATTTTTATATCGTAGATAAACTCAAAAGCTCTAAAACCCATTAGAAAGCTGTTGGAGGATTTTGAAAGCTCATATCGGAACAGCGAACGGTATTCGCTTTTTTGGGGTTTATTTCCAAGTGCTTTTTGACAATGTTTTGTAGCTGCACCTCAAAAAAGGCATTATATTACCTATTATAATTTCATTCATGGCGTTCCTTTCATTTTACAAATGTAATTTACGAAGTGGCCAAACAACAGACAAAACATGTCAGTCGAAATTTAAACGTTATTCTTATTAACAATCTAATCTCTTGTGAACGTTGTGTTTTTTCCATTGCGGTGGTTTTTTCCACATTAAGCCGCCAATCGTCATATTCATTCCCTTTTTAGCACATTTTTGAAAAAAAATATGCTATTATATTCGTTATGGCTGGCTGGCTGGCTGGCTGCCCGGCTGAGATCTCAGCAATTACAATAGGTAGAGACTTCAAATTTTCACTAAAAGCTTTCTGTTACAGTGTACATGTGCAGGATCTAGTCTATTGTGAGATTACTTGTGAGATCAATAATTTTAAGCTTTGCTAATAAAATACTGATTTGTATTACCAAAAATGCGTTCTTCTTTGGTTAGCCTCAATAAGGTCAGGAAGGGGTGTCGCCAACGCATTGCCGACTGGATTGTAACGATTTTGCGCCTTTAGTACCTATCCTCGTAACTCGGTCACAATTGGTGATTGATGTCACAGGCCATCCATATTTCAGCAGCCCTAGTAAGCTTCTACTGCTCGAAGCTTGTTGTTTATGTTTTGTTCCTGATCCTTGTGGGGGTTGGGAGGGTGTGCATCTTGCTCTTGGAGCCATGCGTTTTTCCGATTCCAGTCTCCAGTAAGGTTTGTAGCACGGAATCCATTGGACCGCGTTATCCATGCTGACGCGGTTGGTGAAACGGAAATGGATGCGTTCATCCTACACAGTACACCATACACAAAGACGTGGCAAATAATTAAAGTAAGTAGGTAGGTACTGTAAAGAAATTGTACCATGACCATGACCATAAGTAGGTGATATTTTAATAAAAGACGTGCTGTTAAAAATTATACTTGTTCGCAATAAATAATGGCGCCCAAATGAGCCAAGATGCACCATTATTCGTTTCATTGCTATTTGAACTTCATGTATTAGTTTGTTATAAATGATATTTATTCAACATAATCAGTTGGTATATAGGTAGGTACTCTCTCAGGTCAATTACGTAAACACCGCCGTGGGATTTTAATTATTTTTACATAATTGACGGCGTCGGTCGGCGACGTCTCACACCCTGATTAGATACCTCAGATTTTTCTCTTCTTTCAAAATGCCTTCCTATGTGACACACTGACCTTGCTCGATGACCGGTTTTTCTTTCATTAGATCATCAATAGATCTGGTAGTAAATAGGAAGGTACGGTAGGAATGGAATGCGGTTGGGTAATTCATTACATGGTAAGGCACGTTATCAGGAGATTTCGTTATTTACAGAATTAGTAGACAAGAGGACAAAGGGAGCAGATAAAAGTGGATTGTTCACAGTACAGCAGAAGCGTCACGATAGCGATTTTAACTTCATTGGAAGTATGTTAATTTAATGTAAAATGACGTCATTTTCAACCGTTTAAACTCGATTATTTATTTACTAAAACCTCTATCGCGTACCACGCAACAAAAGATTTTTACTATTCGTTGTGTGAAGGTCTATTAACTTAGCGTGTTTTCTCGTTGTGTATGTAATATTAATTTGTGTGTAGTTGCAAAATAATGAAGTCTGGCAAAGAATCGCGCCCCCAATTGGGAGTACCGAAAGCGGAATTTATGAAGACTACTTCGTTTAATTTTCTTGAAAATGAGAGGAGGTGCAACGTTGATCGCCAAATTGAAAACAAAGAAAGTTCAAGTAAGTATAGGTACGTAGGCGTAAAAGGAGCCTCAAATTCTACAGTATACGTTTAAGTTTCTTGAAAATATTTAAGAATTCCCATTCTAAAAATACGTGGATTTTGTCATTTATCAAATGTTTACTTCCTCGCTTAGTCACTTTTGTGGAAAGATTACACATAATTGGAATGAATAATCAATTTTCGCAATTAAGGTACTAAATTGATTGCCCCCCTTGAACGCATTTTTGTCCTGTAATAGTCGGTGCGTTACAAAAAATTTCAAAAAATTACTACGGACAGGTTGCTACTTAGTGAGAGTGGGATGTTGATTTATTTTTCAAAGTACCTAATATTCAACGTCGGAAATTGGTAACCGTTGGGGGTAGAGGATTTCCGGGGGCTACCATAACAACTATGCTTGGTTGAGTCAGTCGCCAGATACACCCGCCACCCAGGTATCTTGAAAAATCCAAATATGTATTGATTTGCACGAACTACCTTTTTAATCCCACATTCATTGTGGGTGAAACTATTGGTAGCAAGAAACCACAGTCGTTCTATTTGAACGTATTAAGTACTATATTATGGTGTAAACCAAAGTAGGTTCACTCCTGTAAGTTTGGGAGAATTGGCGATATGGTTATAAAACTGATGATGCGACTACACCCTGTATATTTTTACATTTCTGGATTCTACATGCATTTCCAGTTTTGAAAGGAGGAAGGAAAACTGTTCATTAGGGGTTGCAAAATTTTGAGCTAACTGGCGCATAAGCAGGGCCGTAGTCGATTGATTATACAATTGTACTAAGAGCGGGCCAATAATTCTACAGAGTGGGCGGGCGAAATAATAATTTTTGGCGTGCTGTGCCAAAACCACCCGCTGTAGGAAACCACTTTTCTTGGAAAATACAGTTCGCATAGGTACCGTTTAATTGATTTAATAAATAAAAAAATAAGGGCATTTTCAAAAGCTTTTCAGCTGTTCACTTTCGCCTAAGAACACGTGTGCCAACTGTAGTTACTTACTTCGGTTCAGTGGTTTGGTAGGAAATAAGTGCACAGACAGGCGGACTGAATATCATTGAGATCTGTGATCCTAGGGACCCAAAATGAGGATGTGTGTAATTAAAGTGGGAGGTCATTTGTAGACCTCTGATACTACGTATGTTGTAGGTAGGTGGTAAAAATGATAATTAAAGTGATAATAATAATCTATGTGTATCATTTACCTATGCACCCCCAAACTGGGTTAACAGAAACACATAGAAAATGTATAGAAAACAAAATATTAAACTCCACCTTTCAACCTAAAACGCTTTTTCAATTAATATCGGCACTTAATGTAGGAAATATGTTTATTTCAAAAGTTTCTTTGTAATGTACCGTATACGCCGGGGTCAAGTAAAAAAGTTATCGGACCTAACAAAATGGATTGAGGATTCAATTCACAAAGATTAAACAGAAATTTTTAGAGAAATCTGAAAAACTCAAAAATGTAGTGAAATTTTGTATACTTTGCATCCAGAGTCATTTTCCAGTAACTTGTTTACTTGAAACAAAACCATTGACGAAATTAAAGATCATATACAAATGATGTCTGAAACAGAAAGGAAGGCGTAAGAAATATTTTCACCTGGTGAGATGTTCGTAGAGAGTGAAGTTTGGCAGCATCCCTGTTTGGGGTCAATCTGGAGAGGTTCAGGTTGGACGTGTGAACGGGGTGTAACACTTCCGCTATCATGTTTATGCAGGTCTTGAGAATGTTTCTCCAATGAATTCATAATGGACCCACTTCGTTTTATTTTGGGGGTATTCTATTCTATTCATAGGGGAGCCTGACCGAGCATCCCTTAGGCACACCAGAGGCCCATTGTGCCTACCCCCTTTCTTTCACAACTGAGTTCAGAGCCCGTTCCTCACATTGAAGGACAGGGACCCTGTTTAGCGTTCACCCTCTCCGGTTCCAGACAGCTGTCTCCAAGGAGTTGATGTCTGTCCCTGATCAAAGCGTCACAGTGACAGACCACATGCTCGACAGTTTCATCTGCCTCGCCACAGAATCTACACGTGGGCTCCTCCGCGAGCCCAAAGTTATGCAGGTGATAGTTGACCATCCAATGCCCCGTAAGGACACCTGTGATCTTCCTGATCAATCCTGGCCCGGACAACGGAGGGAGCAATCCCTAGGGTAGACTCGGGCCCGGCGAAGACTCCACCACTGCTTTCACGAGCCAGCTCGTCCGCCCTTTCGTTAGAACTAGCTGAAATATCATTTACCCCGTGGATGTAATGGAAAGTGTAACAAATTTAATATCTACGTGACAAAATTGGACAGTATAGGGTCCAAAATGCTGGAGTTTTCATAATCTAATTTTGGATGCGTTATTCTCACGTTGAGAAACTCCTCAGATACAAAATTTGATCTCGAACAAATTTGGTATCTGAGGAGTTTTCCTTTTACGGGTGCGCCATCTTAGGATAGGAATTTTGGAAATCATTTTTCACAATGAAAAAAGACACCCAGAAGTCTAGATAAAACTTCAAAATCCGTATTTCTGTCGGTTTTGGTTTCCGAGAAGAAAATTTAGGAAGAAACCAACATTTTGGGTTTGTGTGCGTGTATGTGTGTGGGAGGGGGGCTACGAATCGATAGATACATTTTAATCCTTAGGTAGATTCGGAACAACAATGCTTGATTTGGTCCCCTCTTGCACGCTACGATACTGCCACACCCATCTTTATAGTCTAAGAACGTTAGTAGAAAAATTAGAATTAATTAGCAATGAATCTTTCACAATTATCTTGAAGAAAGTGTATGATAGATTCACTTTTATCGGCATAATTAGTATGCGCCTATTTCTTGCAGTCCATATAGGCAAACCATCCTTCTTTGCTCATAAATTAACAACCCAGCAAAAAAGGCTTCACCATCGCCTGCAATTTTTTATTTTAAAAAAATTCGCTCTATACACTTATGATAATTTCGGTTCTTGCTCCTCTAACGTTATCTTTTTTGGTTTGTGTGTACCAGTTTCCTGGTGATTATAAAACTTTCCAAATTACGTAAGATTGAAAATGTTCCCTTGAATAAGAAGACCTTGTGGTTTTTGAATCGTAAACGAGTAGGTAACCAAATTTCATGGTTACATGGCCATAGGAGTTGTACTTTTGATTACTGTGCACCCATTTTTCTGGTCCAAGGGGAGCAACTGGATGGGTCTGGTGCTTCCATTACCAACGGTGCAGGGTATTTACCCTCACGTTATTGACTTTGATTGAAAGTAGCGTGACTAATAATTTTAATAACACATTGGATAATAAAAAATTGCCTTGATTAAAGGATAGATAACGACCAAACGATAAAAATTATCTTTGATTTACAGAAAATGTGGTTCGTAAACAGGACAACGTAATCGAGCAGTCGAAAACAACAACTTTGCCAAAGTGAGTATTGAGCCGCGCAGGTTATTATCTTGGCGTAAATAATGCAGTTTGTTCATTCCATCTTGAAATATTCTAACCATGGATTTAGAAAGAAAAGTTGAAAAAAGACGAAAATTTGTACCTGCAAAAATTGTTAAGGATTATAATAATAATAATGAATTAAAAATTCAATTGGTTAATAAATTAGTTCAAGTGTTAGTATTATTTGTGTACTTACTTGCACTTCATTTTACGTTTTAGCCGTACAGAAGCAATTCCGGAGGGAGCCATGGTAACCAGTGAAGTTCGAAACGAAGAAGGACGTTATGGGACAAAGAAGTAAGTATGTTCATTCCTGCTTCTGTATATTAATCCTCATATTTGTGATAGATATGTTACCAAATGCTATTTTCAACCAAAGCAAAATCCAGTTTCATATTCAGAAACTGTAATCTTGACTTTGGGATCGAATAAGAAGCATTACTTTGACACCATTCTCTATCAGGTTAGTGCAAGATTGTATCTTTGTCATATAAAAATGTGATCATATTTTAGACGAAACTTGTTCCTTTTCGCTGGACGGAAAGTGTAAAAACTGCGACGCCACCCCAAACTTTTTACGAGTTCCAATCGAAATACGAATACGCCCTGGAAGATCCAAAGTGGCAGTACATATCATTGGAAGCGCAACAGAGGGCGGCCGAGGAAAAATCCCATAGAGCGCAAGAAATTAAAGTCTAGAGACTATTCATTTTTTGCAAATCATTTTTATAAGTTTGTAGACGTAATACTAATTAACAATTATATCGTAAAATATTATCTAATATTCTTATGAGAAATACTTCGTTCTGTCAACATGCAAAACCCAGTTATAATTTTATGCAAAATAAACCGATGAAGATTTAGTATTGAATGAAATCTCCACTACATTAGGTCATTTGCGGAGGCACACATATTTCAGCGCTTAAATCCTTTGAAAAAGTGAAACAGATTTGGATATCGAGATTTCGTAATATTTTTCTGAGTAATTGAGTTCTATAGTGTGTTGAGAATTGAATGAGTTCCGGAAGTCTTGGCTCCACGTCTGTCGGGTTTTAACGTAGATAATTATATCTTAATAAGTCTGACGTGCTCCAAACTGAAAAATGAGGATGAGATCACTGCTCGTTCGTGAAAAATCAAGACTGAAACAAATTAAATGGGTGAGATTATGACGAACGCCCGTCGTGTAAATCGGGAGCCACAACGAATCAAAAATCAAAAAAAATGGTATATTTAATTACTAGGCGTTATTTTGGAGGGGCGTCAATTAATTCAAAAAAATAGGTAGGGATTAATCCGGAACAGAATTTTGGGAGCTCCGGGATTTGACTAGGAAAGAGTTAAGCACGCGAACCGCCAAGAAAACTCGTTCTGGGTTCGCAGGGCGAGGAATTCTGTTTTTGACCATCCCAGTTTGATCATAAAAAATTCAGGTTCAAGGCTTGAGAGTTTAGAATTCTCTTGAAGTGAAGTGCGCTGAGTCAGTTGGCATCTCAAAATAACGCGTGGCATACATTTTGCACGATGTTTTGGACATAAAAAGGCTATCCTCTCGATGCGTGTCACGTTTGTTGACCGTGGACCAAAAATAGTAGCGCGTTGATTCAACGGCCGTAATCGAGCGGATTTTTTCGGCGCTTTGTGACGATGGGTGAAACGTAGATCCATTACCATGAGCGTGAGTCCAATAGGCAAAAAGGCTAACGCTCGGCCGGGATGAAACTACCAAAAGCTTGCTTGATAATTATTGTTATTATTATGAAAATTGTGAAAGCTCCGAAAGTTAGTCGAAATAAATTATGTACAATGTACATAGCTACACTAAACTTTGAAAATGGTTGCCGACAAATTAATATTAAACTGTACCTATAGCAATAGTTATCTAGGTACATAAAAAGTCAGGAAAATGATTCATTACTGGCGAGGAAATATTGAAGGGGCCGAGTACTTTAATTTCTGAGTCAGGTAATGACATTTTACTGACGAGTTTTGAATTAAATTTTACCCGAAATCGTTCTTTAATACAAAATTTCAATCTTTATATATAACTTTTGATTAATGTCAATCTGTCAGTGCTGACAGGAGTCATTATAGACAATTGGAAATGCTAAAAAGCCAGTAAAGTGACGGTGGGACCGGTAAAGTGACAGGTGCGGCCAGTAAAAGTGACAAATGGCAGGAAACGTAGTCTGCTCTGCCTCTGTCATGGAAACTAAAATTTCCTGATAGAAAGTAGGCATTAAAATTAAGGTTTCAGGACGATTTTGGGTAATAGTTATTTACATAAAAGCCAAGAAAATGATACATTACTGGCGAGGAAATATTGAAGTGCGAGGTCTCTTTGAGGCCTAGTATTTTAATTTCAGAGTCGGGTAATGTCATTTTACTGACGAGTTTTATATTAAATTTTACCCGAAATCGTATTTAAATATAAAATTTCAATTTTTATATAGAACTTTTGATTAATGTCAATCTGTCAGTGATGACATGAGTCATTATAGACATTTGGAAAGGTGACAAATGCGGCCGGTAAAGTGACGGTGCGGCCGGTAAAGTGACAGGTGCGGCCAGTAAAGTGAGAAGCGGCAGGAAACGTAATCTGCTCTGCCTCTGTCAAGGAAACTTTAGTTTCCTGACAGAAAGTAGGCATGAAAATGAAGGTTTCAGGACGATTTTGGGTAAAATTAATTGTTTGTAATGATAAGAATGCACAACATAAATCTTCCTTTTAACAACAAAATACGTCTACATCGAAGAGTTTTGCGTTAGCAGAGTTCCACCATTGGAACAGGTATCAATTATGGGCGCTCGTGCGGGAATTCCCAGCCTATGCTTGACATTCGAGAAGGGTCCTGGGATTAGGTGTCATAAGTCATAACTAATGCGGTTACAGTTATTTACCGCCCCCATGACTGTCTCTTCAAGCCGAAAATTGTTAGTTTACAAACAAGTCAAAAATATTTAATTTGAGGTCAAGACCACGTAGTCGAAACATAATAAATTGGGAAAACATTTACACCAAAATCGATTTCAAACAAAAGGTATTTTTTCATACATGTGATGCATCGGGGTTAAATTGTGTCGATTTCAAAAACAAACATGGAAAATTATAAAAAAATATAAAACGTTCCATACAAAACACAAGTAAATTTTAAAGAAATGCAAATATTACTACCTGTATTAAAGTATACAGTAACAACAACTATAACACGATGCTTTCTCATTGATTGCCCAAATCAAGATGTCAAACGTAACAAGCGTTGGTGCCTTTGATTGGTGCTCTCGCAATGGCGTACACAGCTTTCCTCGAATAATAAGTCACGCGGTTGCCAGCTCTCAAAAATGTGTGCATAATCGTAGGTTGCGTATACAGGAACCATCTCACCACCTTAAGGGCCCGCGGCAAATGGGAGGAAATACACTTATTATTTTTGTTTTATGCAATTGCCGGGAGAGGCGCGCAATGGCATATATTGCTCGCGCTACTTCTGCTTTGCCATTCATAAATGTCTCTAATTACGTTTAAGAAAATTATTCTGTAATAATCACACACGTTAACTCAAAATTTCCACTCAAAACCATATGTTATATGCTCAAAACCCCCCACCGATGAGAGGGTATCCTACCAATTGCAAATCTGTCGGTAATACAGGGTTCTCCTAAAATAAGGGATACATTTTAAATTATTATAACTTTTTAACTAGTTTGTTAAAAAGTTATAATAATTTAAAATATATCTTTTATTTTATGATAACCCTGTATTACTAATTGTCGATGACATATAGTAGAAATGCACAGGGTTTTATGCATAGGTACCTCTTTTTTTGTTGTTATAGTGGGTGGGGTGGGGTGGTGTCAACTAGAAGGAAATCCCAAAAGCACATATTGTTAGCAGTTTCAGTAATAAAATCCTGTGAAAAAGAAAGAACCGTTTGATGTTAGAATTGCCTGTTTGTATGTCTACCTGAATTGTAATTTTGTGGATAGAACTAGGGTATGCAGTCAAGTTTTCTTACCCGAACAAGAAGCCTATGCAATTTACGACTCCCGCATAGCAATTTAAATTTCATGCTTTATAAATTTCTAATACGTGAACTTTTAAAATGAGAAACGATTATTATGCAGGCGATATGGTTATTGCCTCTTTATAAGCGTTAGACTTGGGATTTAACTTAAGAGTTGAACTGCAATTTGCAAGCGTTTAATATGCATAGGGTAGGTAATTTTAAAATAATATACTATGTTAAAATGTTACATTAGTAACAAAAGCGTAAGCCTAACATTCGAATCAAATAAAAAAAGAGTATTTTAGTTTGGAAAATATAGAGCGGTTTTCATTAACCAGCTGCGGACAGTTCAAACAAATTTTCAAGTTTAATTGAATTTCATACGTGTCGCCCGATTGAAATGCAGTTACGTGAATAACACATGCTCTGTTCTATCGGGGTAAAAGTTTTCCCATTATCGTATTTAAAAAAAAGTTCGATCTGTTTGTGTTTATCAAACAAATCCGACCTGCAAATTAAATACTTTGATTTGAATATTACATGGCATATGTAATTTAGCCTAACATATTGGTATGTGCAATAGCAAACGGTCACTAAACACAAGCACCTATCGAGTTAGCTCAAACACCTGTCATAACTCTGAGTACCAACAGAAAAAATTTTATAGGTGGTAATTTGGGTTTGATTAAAAATAACATGGAACATTTACCTACAGATGAAACAAATTTATTAGACAAAATCAATCAATAAGCTGAATGAAAGAAAAGCACGCAGGGCTTATAAACAAAGTACCACGCACAAGCGATCGATTGAACAAATTAGTTACAGAAATCTTAATTACCTTAAAGAGTGAATAATCCAAAAAATCCGGTCGTAACTGTAATTTTCAACAAACAGAAAGCCCAACAAACACAAACACCGACTGATGATGTTATTTCTGGAATTCGTTCGTTTGAATTACAGATGTAATTTTAATACTCTTTGATGGTGAAATAAAACTCCATTTAGCAGGTAGCTTGGACAACCAAACATAAGCGAAAAGCGCTCGAACGACAATAGGCCGACTAATTTCTTCGTAAACTTCACTTAATTCAACTTAAACATCACCTTAAACGGCGCAATAAAAGTCTCTCGACTAACTTCCTTCTACAAAACTGTACAACTGGCAAAATGGCAGTCTTGTAACAACAACTATCGCTGATTGCGATACATCAAAAGCCCTCACCACCAAAAAAGCAACGATTAACGTCCACCACCAAATAAGTCACGATTAACGTCTTCCTCTGCTATTTAAAACAGTTTCTCTTTCCGTTACACTTCCAACTGTGTCTTCGAATAAATTTAACACCTGCGATTTTCTTACCGGCGAAACCAAAGAATAAACTCAAACATTTAACACGTAATTTCTTTCAAAATTTTTCTATTTTTATAGTTTGCAGTTTTTCTTGAGTGACGTCCAGTAAGAAATGACTGTTAATATTGGGAAAAACTAAAATTTTAAATTCACGAGTAAACGTAAGAACTATATCATAACTCGTTTTCGCCTTTTGAAACACTTTGGCATAGTCGCTATATAAAGGGGCCTGAAATTCGCAAATTTTCAAAATCAGATAATAATTCAAAAACTTAGTCATTGTGACGGTGACGGTGGTTACAATTGTTGGAAAGAGCTTTGGGTTCGTGGTTCTACTGAAATTCTTCTTGTAATTGTCTTCGTTTTCTTCTTTAGGAAAAAATTCAATTGATTTTTCTTTCAGTGATATTCTCATTGATAACCAAAACTTCGTAATCCAAATAAATGTGGAAAAAGTCTCAAACTCATTTTAGTAATAATACCCCATTTGTAAAAAGTAATA